CAATGGATACCCTGAAAAAAATTAGTTACACTTTACAAACTAATAAAGCATTAATAAATAATTAATAAAACCCAAATAAAATATAGTTGCAAAGCAATGCTACTGGAAGTTCATTTTGTGAGCTCACTTACAGTTTTTGAAGGACAAAGGTAAACGTCTGAGATGTAGATACCCCATGCACCACTCTGTACTTAAAACTTCTATATGAGCAGTTTTATAATTCTGTGCTAACAGCTGATTGGCTCCCAAAACAGGAAATAGAATTGGGCCCCAGCCACACACATCAAGGCTTTAGTGCTCTATATTCAAATGACTGCTGCTGAGTTATAAACCTGGTTTTGTCAAAGCAGTCTTGAGAAATATAATTCCAGTTTATATTACAGGTTCACAATAAACAATCTAAATCTTATAAAACATAAAAAACAAACCAAAGCAAAACATAGTATAATAAAGTTGTAATTTAATTACAATTACTGATTTTTTACTGAATGAATTACTGAATGTTTACTTCATATTTTGTGAGTGCACACCGGCACATAGACCTCACTGCCGTTTTAACAGCAGGATTTCTAGTGCTGTGGTGATGTGTGTGTCTGTGATAGGTCAGAGTTACTGAGGTGAAATCTCCACAGGCGGCAGTACTGAACTAGAGAGAGCGACCAAGAGTGATGAAGCTTATTGAACCCAAGCTCACTCACAAAGTCAGTAGTGTGGTTTGTGGGCAAAAGGGCAGCAGCTCAAGCCCACTCTGGGGTCTAACTGAGCATGTGCATGATTCTTCACATAAAAGCAATTTCCTTAAAGAAGTACTAAAGTTTTCTACAAAACTATGGGCTGCATTTCCCTCTTATGCACACATACATGGTCTGGGTGGTTTCATATTCACTTTGATTTACTAAACTTAGAGCAATGAACTGCTGCCAGTTTTGCACTGGATTCTCTCTGCTTTTTTTTCCATTGACCATTTAAACCTTTTGTTTCCAATCAAGGCAAAGTGGTCACTGTGAGAAACCACTTTGTTTTTTTTCTCATTTCTCAATTTGCATTAGTGTTTAAATAGGGAACCTCTACATTTTCTGAAAATGTTTAATGTTGGTCTTGGGACAGTTAAAAAAGTAGCACACAGGAAGTGATGTAGGAACTGTAGTTTTTCTCCAAAGCTGGGTTTGCATGGTTGTTGGAGGAGCCTGTCCAAAATCACCAGGTGATCCAGGTTGGTTTTGTATGTATGGTTGTAGTTTTTAATTGTAGATAACATGCTATAGAATGAAAATTTACAAAATAACAATTAAAATAACTAATATATTCATTTTACAAGGCTAAAATGTGGTGGTTTTGCCTAGTAACCACTGTGAATATAAGGGAAGTAGATGGTCATATGGCTAAAAATTGGTGGTTTCCCAGAGTAACCACAGTGCATTTAGGACAAACACATAATCACATGGAGAAATGGTGATAGGCATTGTGCCTATAGTAGAACATTGTGTTTGTTTGTTTATTCAAAACTAGAGATACTTCACAGAGCTAATTTGATCTATATTGTATATCAAAGTGCATCATGGAAAAACAAAAATGAGTGCTGAGGAGGTAGTAAGACTGTTGCTAGAGGCCATTCCATCAGACTCTTAATGTAGTGAGAGTGAGAGCAGTGAAAAGGATTATCGGGGAGATCAGGGCAGTTATGGAGTCCAGGGAAATAAAAACGACAAAGGTAGTGAAAGTGACCAGGGCAGTGACCCAGTTGTAAATGCATACATTCTGTAAAGCAAGCAATTTCCAAATGACAAGATGACCTTGAGGGACTTCCATAGCTATGTGGTAACAGGTTTAGTGAAGGCCAAGACTAATTCTAATAATTCTAATAAAGACTGAAGACTGTCGGCTGAAAGAAGAGCACAGTTCCCACACTACAAACCATACATATCAAGGGAGAAGCACAAATCTGAAGCTGCTCATCTCCCAGTGTAAAGCATATCAAGACGATGTGCCAAATGCAGCACTAAGAAGGGTTTGCATTGCACAAAATGGATGTGCACAGAGTGCAATGTTGGGCTCTGCAGCCAGACAAAGAACTGACTTTACCTTTGTCACAAAAATTGAAACAAAACAATGAAATCAGAGAGCAAGCTGAGTATTACATGAACAATGCAAATGGCATAGTCAGCGCCACTTAGTGCACAGTGGTTACTCAGAGAAACCACCTCAGAAATGACCTTTGACCCTGAACCTAAAAAATCTCACGCAAAATCTATTTCAGTTGAATGGTTTAATCTGGCATTTTGAAAGAAATTCTGTATGTGTGCCTGAAAGGGTTGCATAAAATTATTACTACAATGCTTGTGAAGTGTAAATACAACAACCATAATGCTTACAAAAAACCCTTAAATTGCCAGGAACCTGTTTTATTAAATACTTCTATAACCTAAGAATAGCTCAGCCAGTTTGCCCTGAAGTCCCTGTAATTACTGAATAATAAGCCTTAAGATGTAATAAGCCTGGACTTTTAGGGGGTTAAATCAACAAATTATATTCAATGAAAAATTAGAAGTATTTTTTTTTATTTCACAGAAATCCTTAGGGTTTGTCTGTAGGCCTAGAAGGCCCTGATGATTCCCCACTGCTAACATTAGCCATTGATTCGCACTGGTCAATCTGAACGCTTGTGGCTAATGATTAGGCTCAATTTCTTTCTTTGTTCAACTCTTATTGTTGTCTTATTGTTTTCCTATCCAGTGTTGACCAGAGCAGGATGGGCTTCCCTTTTGAGTCTTGGTTCCTCTCAAGGTTTCTTCCTTTTGCTCTCAGGATGTTTTCCTTGTCACTGTTGTGCTTGGCTTGCTCACTAGGTGCTTAGTCCCAAGTTACTGTGTGTCTGCTTACTGACAGTGCCCATTATAAAGATGTGTATTGAATTGAATTGAGTATTTCAGTTTTCAGATATCTTTATCTGGCTGCAGATGTGTTCTTAATCCATGTTAATGTTTTCCACGTTCTGTTTTTTGCTCATGTACAATGATCTAGTCAGTTATTAACTTCGTTATCTCTTCCTTACTGAAATAGCACATCCTTGTTGACAACTTTCAGCTAACCTCATTCAGGGCACTGACACCTGGAGTAGTAATCGTATTTTGGTGGGCATCCATATATGCAAGATGCTGAAGACAGGCTGAACAGGGGAGGCTGTAGGCAAGAGACTGTGTGGCTGTTATGGCTCCATGGACAAAGAAAATTTGAGCAGCTAGTTTACTCCAAGTTCTATCAGGCACCATCTTTGAAACTAACACCAGATCAGTTTAAAAAGTGTGGTCAGTTTTAAGAGTAATCAAGGAGGCTCTGAGAGCAATTTGTATTGTTCCTCAACTTCGTCTTGGAAACTTCCTGTTAAATAGAGTACTTAAAAATCCTGAGGGCCTCTGTGGGCCTGTACAATTATTCTCATCAGTTTCTCAACTTACATGTTAGCAGTAGTTACCAAATAATTACTGTCTAATAAGTATTTTCCCTTTTTATTTCATATTTTCTGTTTGTGTCATATTTACAATTCATAACGAAGATACATCCAGGGTTCAAAGTGTTTAAGGAATGTAATGCTTACTTTACAAATACACACACACACACACACACACACACACACACACACACACACACACGCACACACACACATACATTATCCATGTATAAGCCACGTATCCTTCTGGGTTGCTGTGGGGGGCTATCCCAGCGGACACAGATTACCAGTCCATCGCAGGGCACATTACAAATAAAATGACCATAATCATACGATACAAAAAAATCATCTTTTAGAATCCTAAAATCTGTGCCTTTAATTTGTAACTTTAATCAAATTTAAAAACTGTGATAAAGAGAACATGATTCTTTATTCAATTACTGAAAGTCATATCAATAAAGCATTAAGTCCTATTAAGTACTAAGAAAATGGATTAGATGCAAAATTATCATGTGAAAACAAACATGACATGCCAACAGGTTTTAGATGAAAGCACTGATAAAATTATACCAACTCAGGTTTAAAAAGGAGAATGTAGAAGCTTCTGACAGAGCTTTCCAGCAGCTTCAGTGGCTGCAAAGAATTTTCAATGGAGCACTTGAAGTTAAAGATTTATTGATGCTGTCTAATAAAAACAAATTGTACCACTTTAAAATAAGACTACCTTTATAAAGTGTTTATTAATGGTTAAAAATGCATTTATTAAAGGTTATTAATTATGTCATAAACACCCAAAATTTCTAATAAACATATACAATACAAATAAAAAGGGCCATAGTTGCCTGTTGTTTGCCTAATGGTGAACGCTTACTTATTCATAACGCTTGCTGTCAGCTTAATGACATTTTCATTACATATAACATCTCACTTTTGCACTTTTTTATTAATGTGTTACAACTGCTTATTAATGATTTTTTTTTGGTTTATGACCGAAATAATAACAATGAACATAATGTTCATGGTTAATGTTAAGCCATTCGTAAACCCTTTATGAGGGTAGTCTTATTTTAAAGTAGTACCACAAAAACATTCCTTAAAAATCTGTTTTATTCAGAACACACACACATTCAAATATATGCTACTCAGATTAGTACTTGACTGATTGACTATTTTTTGTTTCACTGTACTAAGACAACAATAACACTACTACTACTCCTATTGCTACTACTAATGATAACAACCCACACACACATACAGAAAGCCTGCTGAACTTAAATTTATTTTAGAGATTAAAATTACAATTTTCATAATTATTACAGAAATGTATTCATTTTATTAGTCTTTTTTAGTAATTATTATTTGGTCCCATCATGTAAAACCACAACAACAACAAAACAACAATGAGGGTAATATACATTAAAATACTGCATTATTAGAAATTACTCAGTTATTCCTCAGTCTGCAATCATCACTTTAGCGTAAAAAGGGCTGAGAGCCTAATAGCTTTAGAAAGTCCAGTTTTGTTGGTAATAAATGACCTTTGAGTTCACATCTTCAGTGATCTGCTGTGGTTCACTGTTAAAACTCTTTGCTGCAAAGTACGAAGCTTCATCACATGCAGCCTGCAGAAAGAGACTGAATCATTACACTGTATTTCACAGTTTCACTGCATAATCAGACATTCTGTAGCCTCATAGTCGAGTTTATCAGCAAAGATTTACAGAGTGAATTAATTACCTGATCTGCATGAACTGTGTGACCTTCAGCAGCATCTTCAACAAATAACAAGCAAATCATTCAAACATGCAGGATTACACTATTACAGTTCACTGCATTCATACACTAACATTAGATATTAATAATAATAACAGTTTCAGAAATAAAACCTACCTTTATGATGACTGCTGTGTTTTCTACACACAAATACTACCACAGCCAAGGAGATGATGTTTGACACCACTAACACGACAATGGTTGGGTCCAAAGCGCCTTTTTCAATAAGCAAGAAAAATCAACCTCATCAACTTTATCAAAATTTGTGACTGTCATTTACAAAAAAAAAAATAAATAAATAAATACAAATTAGGAGGACCCTATTGCATATAATATCATAAATGATAGACATGGACCTAAAATTCTAAAACAAATATTTTAAATGGCTGTCATAGAGAACCAGTTTGTCTCAACGCTGTTACACATCAAGTGAAAAAATCTTCTAGGTTCATAACACAGAATAAATCCACATCATATGTCATACGTATTATTATGAAAAAAAAAAATCCAAATGTTACTTTGTGACAGATATTCTGAGAAAATTACATTGTCAGAATAAACACACTGTACACATACACATACAGGCAGAGGATATGTTTGTAACCAAGAACAAACCTTCACCATAAGCTTGTTTGAATTAATTTAAAATATAAAAAATACAAAATGCCTGCTCTCACCTACAAACTCCAGTTTAGTTCCGTTCCCAAAGATGATCTCTCCACACATGAGCACAGCACAGTAGTAAGTTCCAGCATCAGAGAGGCTGAGGTTTCTCTTGGGGAGTTTGTAGACACAGCTCTGTGTAGGAGAATCAGTCTCAGAGCTTTTCTTACACTCATCACTCCTGTTTCCATGAGTGTAAATGATTCCTGGATGAGATTCTCCTGATCCATGTCTGAACCAGTACACACTGTGTTCTCCTGCAGACGTATCTGTGAGTATTGAACACCGCAAAGTTGTATCTCCTCCCAGTACAACAGGATCTGATACAGGAGGCTGGAGAACAGCAGAGAGACTTGAAGATGAACCTAAAGAAAGGAAAATGTTACTGATTATTGAATGAGATGAAGATTTAATTGTACATCATAGAAACATTTAGCAATTTGGCAAAACTGATGCTATTTAATAAAAGCAGACTGTAGTAGACGAACACCTACCTTTTAGGACGAAAACTGTGCAGCCTAATAATGCAACATCTGTATAATACATAACAGAACAGTAATATGTAGCTGAATCAGATGGTTCTGCATTTGAGATATTCAGAGTAAAACTGCTTTGTCCTTTCACTGCAGTAAAGCGGCCGCTCTTGTTAAAATCATTGTGATATTGTGGTGTAGAATCAAAATCAGAAGCAATGAGAAGAGCTTTTTCTCCTGGAGTCTGTTTGAACCATGCCATCGCTGTCACATGGGAATATGAAGTAGAACAATGTAGACTAATATTTTCTCCATCCTGAATGACCTTCAGACCATTTAGACAGGAGGTAATGTCTACCTTTGATGTGCTGCCTAAAAAATAAATAAAAAAATAAAGTTAGAACCTCTACTCTTATCTATGTGTGTCCTTTTCATGTAAACCACAGAAAATGAACTTAAATAACAAACAAACAAAAAAACACACGTAAGCAGTACCTAATGATGTAGAGAACAAAACTGTTACATAAAGTCGAATCATTGCCAAACTCTGAGTGATATTTCACCTGACAAAAAATATAAAAAGTATTAGTTTTAGGATTCAGTTATATGTTTCATTTATGTTCATATATATATTTGTATCGTTTTAATATATTTTTTCTGAGGTCACTTACAGTTTTTGTAGGAAGTAGTCATTTGAGACGCATGCTTCGCTCTGTACTTAAACCTCTACGAGAGCAGCTTTATAGCTCTGTGCTGAAATCTAACTGGCTCCCATAACAGGACGTTGAACTGGGCCCTGTCCATTCACATCAGTGTGTGTAAAAATAGAGCTTAATGTGCAAATCACTACTGCTGGGTTACAAACCTGGCTTATCCAAACAAATCACACCAATGTAAACCTCTCAAAACTATTTGGAATTAAAATTTTTGTTACAGTTGGCAATCATTTTAATTATTTGCCTCATGGCTTCAATAACAAAAACAACAATACAAACAGGAAATTAAAGCCTCTTAGAAAAAAAGCTGGTAAGAGCAGCTGATAAAATGGACAGTGAGTGTAGAGACAAGGAGATGTACCCAATAAAGTGCCCAATGAGTGTATATTGTTGGAAAAAGAATGAGAAAAACTGTTCAACTTCAACATATTAAACATTTTATTTCCAATATGTTAAATGTAGCAAGTAAATAGATTATACAGCTTAGTCTCAGAAAAAAAGTATTTTTATTACTTTTTGATGTTAAAAGTTGCTTTATTATATTCTAAATCATATTTTATTTAAAATACTGAGTTTAACTGTTTACAGATTGACTGAACCCAGCCGAAATGTGCATAAATACAACATTACAAATAATATCTCATTTTAGTTCATAGTTTAGTTTAGAAGTAGTTTAAGTATGTCCTCCTGCGTTACTCCCTTACTATGTTTTGTGTAGGGATAGTGCTGGGCTGGGCATTCCACTGCCTTTGTTGAAGTGCCTGTTCAAAATAAAAGAGCATTTACCTGTATGCACAATGTTGTCCATGTCTTCTGCGCCCTCCACTACACTGGTGTCAGAAGTGGGATGTGGCCGCCAGGTTTGAAGAAATCATGTGACACTTTAACAAAAAAGGTGGGTGGCAAAGAAGACTTAGCCCAGAGGAAGTGGGTACAAATCGCTACGATTGCCCTGTCCTGGATGTGTCCAGCCTGCTGAGAGTGAGAAGACAACAAAGGAAACACCACAGCGAGGCTCAGCAGCAGAGCATAGCTGGAGCCTGGCGAGAGAGAGAGAGCGTGTATTTGCTTCCTATGCTACAATGGCAATGGTGCCTGGGAGTTTTTAGACAGCTGCAAGTGCTTGCCTGGCATCACAGCTGGATGGTGACCATCACTGTGACACAGCTGTGTTTGACACAAGAGGGGAAAGAACTATGTGTGCATTGACCATAAAATTCTCATAGAGTTGAGAACTGGGTTTGGGCTCTCAGGAACTGTCCTAAAATGGTTCAGTTCATACTTGCAAGGAAGGGACTAGGTTGTGGAAATTGAAAATAATATATCTGAGAGAGTGCCAGTGACCTGTGGTGACCACGGTTCAATTCTTGGGCCACTTTTATTCAATTTATACATGCTGCCTCTTGGCCAAATACTACAAGATTATGGGATATCCTACCACAGCTACGCAGATGATATACTTGGCCCTTTCCCTAAACAACTATGGTTCCCTTCACTAACTCTGTAAGTGCCTTGAGCACATCGCTAACTGGATGGGACATAAACTTTCTGCAGTTGAATAAAGATTATTTTATTTGGGAATAGCAATGAGAGGTCCTAATCCTAATCTAACTTTTAGTTTTAAATTTGATTATTTAACTATCCTAATTTGATTTTTAATTTAATGATTTTCTATTTTAAATGTATTGTTTTAATCATGTTTTAATTATGTTTTTAATGTTGTTGTAACAGGGCCTACACACTACTGTAGTCACACTTTAGACTTAGTTCTGACACTCAGACTTAACATAGACAGGCTTAATATCCTACCACAAACCTCAGTAATCTCCGACCATTACCTAATCATGTACATATACGTCCCCTCGCATAATACATGTACGTCCCCTCGCTATTCTACGAAGCGCGCAATAAAACCATTTACCGCCCTACAATTCGTAGAAAACCTCCCAGAACTAACAAGCCTAATCTCCACCCCATCAGACCCAATGGAGCTAGATGTATTAGCCGACTATTTAGAAAATACCTTTCGATCTACTTTAGAAAATGTGGCGCCACTTAAATTCAAAAGGAAAAGACAGAAAAAGCTCGCCGTGTGGTACAATGATAAAACCCGTACCTTAAAACAAACAGTACGGAAACTAGAGCAGAAATGGCAATCAACCAAGCTGGAAGTGTTCCACCTGGCCTGGAAGGAAAGCCTTATAGAGTATAGAAATTATCTCACTAAAGCTCGCTCAGCATATCTGGCCTCGCTGATCGAGAATAATAAATATAATCCTAGAGTACTGTTTAGTGTGATTTCCAGAATTACAAAAAAATCAGGCAGGTATTGAACCACAAATTCCGGCGACTCTCACCAGTGAAGTTTTTATGGACTTTTTTAATAATAAAATCGAAAATATTAGACAACAAATTCAACCCGCAGTATTAAATCCAACTTGGCTGTCATCTGACGTGGCTGATATAAAACATAACATAGTTGCAGAAGAAAGGCTTGAAACTTTCTACCCACTCACACAGCCAGAATTAGAGAAGATTATCTCCTCTGCAAATTGCACAACCTGCACACTTGATGCAATTCCCTCAAAGTTACTCAAAGAAGTGCTACCAGTTATCATAAATCCTCTTTTAACTGTAGTAAACTCGTCCCTTAGCCTGGGCCATGTACCCAAAGCTTTTAAACTAGCAGTTATTAAGCCTCTGATCAAGAAACCAAACCTTGATGCTAGTGTATTGTCTAATTACAGGCCTATTTCTAACCTACCATATATATCTAAGATCTTAGAAAAAGCTGTAGCCCAACAACTTAGTTCATTTCTACATAAGAACCACATATTTGAAAAATTCCAATCTGGATTCAGGCCACATCACAGCACTGAGACAGCTCTAGGTAAGATAACAAATGATCTTCTTCTTGCCTCTGATCAAGGCTACATATCCCTGTTGGTGCTACTTGACCTCAGCGCAGCTTTCGATACGATAGACCACAATATTCTCCTAGAAAGGTTAGAAAACATGGTTGGAATCACAGGGACCGCCCTATCATGGTTCAAATCTTACCTAACAGAACGTTATCAGTTCGTAAAGGTAAATAACTTATCTTCCAATTATTCACAAGTAAGATTTGGAATTCCGCAAGGCTCTATTTTAGGACCATTATTATTTACATTATACATGTTACCGTTAGGCACAGTTATAAGCAACCATGGCATTAACTTTCACTGTTACGTAGACGATACGCAACTGTACATATCAGCCAAGCCTGATGACAAATACAGGTTAAAGAAAATAGAGCACTGTGTAAAAGATGTGAAAGGTTGGATGTTGCGTAACTTCCTCCTTCTAAACAGTAACAAAACAGAGG